TTATCAGCTCCCGCCTGCAATGCGCAGCTACCTACCCCTCCCCCCCCAAATCATCGGTGAACGAAACTGCGGCAGCTACAACCACTGTACGACGAGTACGCGGTTCTTACAGCTGACGATGATACTCAACAGCAGAGTGACCGGTGCTTACTTAGGATTGAGGAGTTTTGCCAACCAATTGAGGACTACGGTCCACGTCACAGAGACTGATGGCCGAGGCGGTAGAAATCGCGAAGCATCCCAGTGTTAACAGAATAGGGGGCGTGGAGCTGGCAAGCGTAAGGAGAACGGTTCTGGATCAATCGAGCTAACACGCGTTGGTGTGCGGTCATCAGAAGGAATAGTCATCATCTGAATTCCACTTGACCTCACCCCACCCCCATGCCCCAACTAAATTGTCGCAGCACTCACAAGCCCACAAAGACCAACGAAATCTGCCAGCGGCAACCACGGTGAATCATCAATTGAAGCACAGTGAAGTAAAAGATAAAGGAACCAAACACGATCAGAATTAATGTGAAACTTCCCAATCCATCAACACACGATTTTGACAACCACACTAACCGACAAGAGCCGTTAACTGACACTCAAAACTGATCTAGTGCTGATTGGTTCTCCGTCTGCCTTAAAACCTGGCCAACTTGGTGACCTGTTCACTGATGAAGCTTTTATGTCAAAAGCGAAACTTTGCCCAAATGAAAAACTACCGGTTGTTTACCAAACCCTTCTGAAACAAGATAGAACGCATTCAAGAAGAGGACGACTCCGGTGGAATCTGAGGTCGTCGTGATCTAAGTCACAACGAAATTTAAGACAGACTCGGTCACCCCATTGAATTTGGAGGACGAATCCAAGTGATGAACAGCTAGGTTTCGGGTTTTAAACGGGTTAGTTGCAAAGCAATATGGATACACATTGGGTAACAAGAGATGCAACTCCGTTTCACAGCGTTTAGAACAACAAGAACACTACAAGACTAAGTAGAGCTTCTCTTGTGTTCGGAGGCCAGCCGTCCCAAATGACCGAACATCGCATCATTTGGACAGATCTGTCACGTGCAGGACACGGGCCAAACGAAGGCATGCCCTGATTGGTCAGAATGCCAGCCAATCCGGGCCCAGCATCCTTGAGTGGACGCTTCTCGCCCCCTCACGGTGCTTCTAGCACGACCTTGTGGAACACTCTGTGACTACCTTATAAATACAGTTGTAATAATTTTCCTTTGTATCCTTAAAGGGCTGTGTAGAGCTACCGTGCCTTTTGATATACCATAGTGGGCGGAGCAGGAAGCCAAGGGACCGATACACAGTTGCACTGCCGTCCAGCAAGTTACAACACCTTAACAACGTACCTTGAGGTTCAGGGAAGCAACCCACTTGCCAAGTGTTCAGTTCAAGGATGACATTCAAGCCAGCGAACATACTTATGCCAAATCAGGATACTTACTCTACGCGTATTAGAAATGAACTTAAACTGACCCTTAATAGAAAAAATCCCGATGTGCAAATGACTGCACTGTCTAGTTAGTGGTAGATAGATGTATCTGGACAGTAAGTAACCCTAAGCATAAAACAATAACTTGAGATTACATCTTACCATCAAAAAGCCATTGCGGAAAGCGTGTGAAATTGTTAAAGGAACGTACCCACTTCAACAAGAGCTCCACTCTCTTCAGCGAGTTGATAGTTACGAAACCAAATACGATTGTTCATGAATCCAAAAACAAACGTCTTGTCAAAATATGGCTGAGACCGAGGGTGTTGATTAGGAGTTCCAAAGGTTTGTACAAAAATTTCACGGAGCAAGCAGAGATGTGGTTGATTGGGATCCTCAAATGCAGTATCAAACGCAAGCACTGGTCGGCTGGCTTTCAGACAATTCCCCGTCAGTTTAAGCTCTGACGTAGTGTGTACATTTTCCACTAGGAACTTGGCACAGGGTCCATTAGGTACACAGCTTATCCAGAGGTAAAGATCCTTCTTTTTACGGGCCTCAAAGAAAATGACCTAACAGTAGGAAAGAGTTGGAAACAACATTGCGGTGGGTGAAACTGGGTTAAAAACGGACATCCATTACAGCTTATCGGACGTCAATTGTTGTCAAAACTCATGCTTGCCCAAAACCTCAGCCTACTTGGCCCAAACTGAGGATATCATCGCCGATGAACAGTGAAATAGATAACAATGCACCACCATACTAAGTAAGTCAGGTGGAAACTTACTGAACAGCACATTAGCAGGTATAGGTCACTCACAGCTCTCTTAAGGCGCTAGCTAACCGGCTGGTCGATTTGACCATCTTGTTACACAACTGACCCCAAATAGTCTGAAAGGTCCCCTTGAAGCATGAGGCGGTCTGGTGCAGCACATTCAGTTGCCTGGAAACATCACAAATGAGAGATTCAGCTGGGTTCCAGGTGCGTCTCTCGCAAAACCAAATTAGTTTGCAAATGAGTGCATTTCGCTGGTCTCCTTGAAGTGATCGTAACTGGTTTTCTTGTCCTTTTACAGCGACCGCTTCATCTAAGTCAGGCTTTCGGTCGATCCGGTCATTGTTTGTTTGTGACAATCATGGACGGGGTGATACATTTGTGGGAGATTACCTGAACTTCGATTTCAGGTAACGTTTCTGCGTTATTGACAGAAATTTTTTCACAGCTTAAGAACGATAATCAATAACGAATTAATAATGGACTACCACTGAGTGATCCTTAAACAAGAAGTTCCGTTGGAGATTGTTTTTTTGTTGCTTGTTGAATCCAGTCCCATCTTGATGGTTTCAGAAATCTTACGCTAGTTGCCATTCCGAAATGAGTTTTCACTACTCAGGCAAATAGCTGGATACTACCTCCCAAAAGATATAACTGACCGTAACATGCTGATTATTGGAATCCAAAGGATAAGGCGAGAAAATCGAGTCCTATACATCCGATGTCAACTGGCAACGAACATATATGTAATATCCTCTGTGAAATAATAATAACCGACCCACAAGAATGCAGAGACCGTCTTTAAAGAGAACAATTGGTGGAGGAACGCAAAAGTGAGATTCATTTGAAACCGCATTGAATATCCGGCTCACATGAATTGCTATGTAAATGGGTGATTCATTCAGTCAGTAGCTGCATAGACAACGAGTACCTAAATACGAAATACGATTCCCACCAGCAAAAGCGAAGTGTCAAACATCCACACAACTCACATCCAGATAACTACCTTCATTGTGGACAAACGTCCTCTACCCCGCACGAACGTAGCTTGTGAGGAATGCAACAATACAAGAACATTGCAGTAGGTCCTCACATGTATTCAGTGGTCTACTTTTGAAAGTGCTGAGTGCTTTCGGCTAAACTAAACGAACAAACTCATCTGACATATCGAGTCAGGCGGCACCCCGATAGGCAATCACGACATCGAAAACACGAGCTGCAGAGACCAAGCGAGGAAACCACTCTCCGTCTCTATAAGTGGGAGAACACTGTTAGACTTAACCAACTTATTCAGTCGTCCGGCAAACTGGACACTGAGTAAGTTCTTTTGCAGCTTTTGCTCCGGCCTTAGTGAGATATCGAATGCATCCAAAACTGTTAGCAGAACTTGTCTCGTTAATTCCGCCACTCAGACCCAAGTGAACGTATCAGTTGACCACTACACTGGTAAAAAATTTTCTTTGTTCTGTTGGTTCTGTCTAGATTTTATCCGAGCAGTTGCAGGTGCGACGTGGAAACCTCCTGCAGAATCGCAATCAAATAACAGGACAGACTTGGATCGCACGAAAAAACATCACACGCAGAAGACAGACTATAGTTAAGATAGTTTTGAGTTTTTTCCTGTTTTTCTAAGTAAGGTATCCTTTCTGCACAGATCAGCATCCAAGTCAAACACCTTCGGTAACCCGCTTTGCGAGGTGCTATCGGAAGGAGAATGCTTCCCGAGGAGGTTTTCTGTACTGAACGGTGCTTCTGAGAAGATAACCAGAAAACCCTGGCTTAAAAGTAGTCTCACGCATTCGTTATGCCATCACAAAAACTACAGCTTTTAACTAATAAGGCAGAAGAGAACTGTGCTAATGACGGTCAGCGACGTCGAGAGGCACTTTAGAGTATCAGCTCCAAAGTACAGCCATTTGGGATAGTCATAACCTCACAAAAATGGGTGAATGATTGAGAACTGCTCGCAGTTGGTTTTGCATGCACAGAAGTGTGGAAATACCGTCAACAAACTTCTTCGATGTGTCATTTTATACTTTGATCTCAGATAGCTTTGGTAGGGTGTCCCAGGTAAGGCTACGTGGGTTTCGCTATGAAAAGCACCACGCTTATAAGACAGACCACAACCAATGTGAGGTCTACCAGTTTCTCCGATTTGCTCTCAGTTTGTCAAGTGTAGTAGTCAGATCCTTGGTGGGTGTATAACATGACACCTTGTAAGAACAAACGGGCAATAAGCCCAGCTATAAAACCCTTTGAGTGTCTAGCTGCTCTGCCACCCGAAAGAAATAGGAAGGATAATATACTCCTAGATTACTCGAGCCTAGATAGCAGCCGTCGGGAGTTTGGGTTCGAACCACGGACCTTCCAGTCAGTAAATTCTTACCCCAAGCGTTGAGTTATCTCGATCCCGACAGAGAAGGATGAAGTGTGAAGGATCGATGGTGGAGCAAAGAGAAAAAAGAGCAAGATTATATGACGTTGGTTGCATGAGTAAAAAAGTGCCACTAGTTCCATGAGTTAGTCACACGGGCCGGGCACCATAACCATAGGTCTAGAGAATCTGTAGTTCTTTACACCCTGATATCATACATAAACGTGACGAAAGTTGTCAGTTTAACATTTCTATTTAGTTGCAAAATCAAAGCCAGCATGCGGCTCTTTTTACCACATGGCCGACAAAGTAAACGACTCCCTGATTGCGTAATGCGTAACCAAGCAAGCGTAACTGATATGGTTGCACGAAACAGCTTATCGACTCGTCAAATAATACACCACGGGAAGCCTCCGTCTGATCCCTATATTCACATACTTCTGAGCGTGTAAGTGTATGGAGAGTTCTCCAAAAGCTTCCCTACAAAACGTGATGTCTGACGAGGATGTCTACGACTAAGAAGAAAGATGTGAAAGAGATTACGAAGAGTTTGGGTGTCGATAATGCTGTACGCCTTCCAGGATGGGATCCTCGTGTCCTCTCCTGTGCTTGGGTGGGGGCACTGCAAACGGCGGCTGATCGAAATCAGTGGTCTTCGTGCTATCAGTTTTTTCTAGATTGCCTGACTGAGCGACCAGAGGTGTAAGCACTTCAGAATGTTTGCGACAGGCCTAAACTAGATCCCCTCCTTCACCCACTCTTTTTCACTTATTTTCACTCTTAGGCTTTAAATACAATAAGATGGACTTTATGCTTGTACGATCTTGAAGCATCAGTATCAGCAGTAATGTAGCCATCTCTGATGATGGTGAGGGGGGGTGGAGGTAACAGCATGTTCAGTTAGTTCGGGAACTAGGTATTTCTGCATTGAAGGCAATGTCTTTTACGCACGAGCACCACTGACTACGCGACTGGGCCATTTCTGCCAACATCATTAGCCATTGGTAAGTTGAGTTCCAGGGTCCCCATTCAAGGAGGTAGTTACTGACCCGACTCAGTTTACTCGTGTGCTTTCATACTTCGTTGCTAGACCATACATTGTCCACCTCTTGGTCGGTTCCACTCAATACAGGGCTGGGCGAAAACAGCTCTGCGGGGCAGACGGTCTTCTGGCAACGCAGTACATATCCTAACAAACGTAACCTGTGAAGCGTGAGTAATTCATCTGTCGCTGGAGAGTTCATCCTTCTTATAACGATCTGGCGTAGCTCGGCATTACTAGACGGAAGTTCTCACCAGACCCGGCTGAGTCAGAGAATCCGATGGCAAAAACAGACAAATTTCGTATGTTATCTGTGCGTAGAGGCCACGTTTCTGGTCCATAAAACAGAATCGATCGCATTGCCGCAGTGTAAACTCTGCATTTGACATAAACTGGCGTCACGTCAGTACCATGTGTCGAAGGTTGATAAAAGCTGTCCTGGCCTACCCGATTCAAGAAGCAATCTCATCTCCAGCCAGTCCACCCGGACTCGTACAACTACCAAGGTAAACAAATTTATCTATCACGTTGACTGACTTACCTGCGAGCATGAAGTTTACAATTGATTCCACCCAGTCTTGCAGCAGTACACTACGCTTTGCAGGTGTGAACCTCATGCCAAACGGCAGGGTAGAATTATTTAGTTTATTTAAATTGGCTTGAACTTTTGAAAGACCTAAACCATGTAGGGCAATATCGACGCATACTCAGTGCCTTTGAGAGAAATTCCCAGGAGCATTTCGATCCTCGAAGTTTCAGAGGCAAGCAGAAAAATCTCAAGCAGCACATCAACAAAAAAGTTGAATAGGAAGGACTAGGGAAGGAGGCTTTGTCTAACACTGCTGGACATGGTGAACTCATGCGAAAGCTTACGTATACTCGTACCCGCCCACGTGAGTTCGCAGAGAGTGCCCTCATAAGGCCTACAAAGTTGAAAGGGGCGCCCTTAGCCGCAGACGTCACCAAAGTTTCTGACGAGCAACAGAGTCAAAAACAGCTTTCATATCAAAAAAGCGACCAATGTGGGACGTTGGGAAGCCTAGTGCTCTTCAAGAAATCGTCTCAAGGTAAAGATATGCCCGAGGCACAATCGGCCAGGACGAAACCCAGCTTGATTCTCACAAATGTCTCTCCCGATAATTGATCAACTTGCACAACATAATGCCAGTTGGTCGAATCGACTGAAATATGGCACGGCTGTTGTTAGCAGTGAAAGCCTTCTCAATCTCCTGGACCTTCACAACCAACCAGCGTTTGCTTCCATTGTTCAACCCCTGATTAGCCGTTGTTGGGGGGACCTGCGCGTGCCATCATAGTCACTCGTTTCCAGTATGTCCTTCCTGGCAGCTGATCTCGATTATATCCAGTGTTCATTTAATCGAGTCAGATGGCTTGGACAAACTGTTCTGAGAGCTGAGAGAATAACGTGTTTAACTCGCTCCCATTCAACCTCCACGCAACCCTTGTCTTCAGTAGCTTTCTAGCCAGGTCAGCTCGAAACTTCCGACCTAATAAAGCCTGTCGAAGCTTACAAATGGAACTATTCTGTCTTGGTACATGTAGTGCTGACGGGAAGCAAAGTGATCACCGGGTCCAATTAACAGCATGGCTAGAGTCAAGTTGCGCATCCCAGAAGAAATGAAAACCTTTAATAGAGGGTCTCTGCTGGTAACTGGTAGCCACATGGTCCAAATGAGTCCGTGACTGTCATGCGGTTGGTGACTCCCAAGTAACTCCATGGGAGCGTTTGTGTATGAATTTCATTCTCACCAGGAACAGACGACGATCTGCACACAACTGAAGCAGTTGTTCCCCCCTTATTCGTGGGCACAGTATCGACTGCAACTTCACCACCCAACTGTGCTTATTGGTCGTCCAACTTGGGCATTCATATCACTCGCCAAGATTGCTATATCCGTCCTTCTTGCTGACTGAAGCAGGTGCAACAAATCTCGATAAAACCTTTCTCAGTCTTAGAAATGTGTTCTGTCATGGTGTATGGTGATAGGACAAAACACCGTTTTTCACATCGACTTGCAATGATCTTCATTGAGCCAGACAACAGTGCAACGATGACTGCTTACTGGGATGCAGTCCAGCAAAACACTCTCAGCCTTTGAGCAGAGTGCAACTCCCACACCGTAGTTACCAAAATCCATTGCGTCAGGACCACCAGATGCTCGGAGAGTGAAATGTGGGGTATTTGAGTTTGTCTGCTCCACCAAAGTGGGATTCTGTATGGCTGCTTGGGAGACACAGCATAAATCAATAGATCGGGAGAGCAAGATTTCAGGAAGCGAGGCCTGTTGCCCAGTTCGACATAGAGTAAGGACATTGAAGGCTGCAACGTGGATTAGATACTTTCAGGTTAGTAAGTGGATATTTTGGTTTATTTTTCTGGACGACAATTTAGACACGGTACAATGGCTGGGTGCCTAGGAAATCGGATGATCACTTTGTATTATTTCATGAATGAGAGGGGGTGTAAAGCCGATAAGCTATAGCACTCTTTATTGCCTAACTGCCATACCATCCGAAGGAAGCACGAGGACTGGGATACTGCCAGGCCGTCCAAGTCCAGACAGGGGAAGTAGAGAAGCAGAGGTCGGGTTCGAACCGCGGAACTTCCGGTCAGTAAATCCGCGCTCTTGGTCAGTGGAGCCGATTAAGCAAATCAAATCTGGGCTGCTGGCGGGAACAGGCACACCGCTAAGCATCCAAAGCATGCACAAAGCAGTAGGTGTGGTTCAATACCGTTAAAAACATATCGGCGGCCGTCACAACAGCACTACAGCGGCCGTTTTACAGGCGAGGGGACGCGAAAGCCAAGATTACCCGAGCAGCAGAACTCCCCCTTAATTAAAACATTTACAACCGGTCCCCTCCCCCTCCCTCTCGAATACGGTTCTCAAAAGGTGAAGGGTCATCTAGGTTGTGGACGAAATTACCGTTCAAGAATTATCAAGTGAAACTAGAAGTCCTGTACAGAACGCGAAAAAAATTACGAACCTTGTTTGTGTGACTTATTTCAGCCAGCTCGTTCAGAACGGAAAGATCACGTTTGGTGTCTAGCTTTGATTCTTTTTTTCCGTGTGGCATCATCGTTAACAGATCCTTCATTAGGTAACGGCCAATGTAAGAAACACCGCGAGAAGCGAGCAGAAGAATCCGCTCCCTATTGATCCACTCCTTTTTCCGTGAAGGTGATTGATCCGATTTTCGAACAGATGGGAGGAGCTTCGCTACAAAAGCGAAAAACGTTACCAATGAACAACTTACGCTTCACATTCAACTTCTTCCCCTGTTTCAAGGGAATCGAACTACGTATAGCACCAGAAGCAATCTCTCTGTTAACCATGACCTTGCTCTTCAACAAATTAGTGCGAGGCTTCCCCATTTCCAGGGAATGAAAGAAGTGAGGGAGTACCGAACCACGTGGTCTGCTGTAGTATGCAAGCTATGGATTCTCCGAAGGTAGGGATTCACAGTAATTTCTGTGGATAGAAAATGGGAATAAACCTCATGACCTGAAATCCATAAAACAAGATTTTACATCAACAGTGCTCACATATAGATCCACCAGTAATAGGCGTATACTACAATGATCTCCCTTTGAATAAGACAGTCCCGGTGTACCAAGACCTATAGGAACCTGCCGCTGCTAGCGGTGTGGTGCGTCAGGCTAGTGAGCATGTAGGGAGGCTGCTGTGTGAGGGGGGTGCGTCGGAAGTGTATGCTTGGGCAATGTGTTAATTCTTGGATCTGTATGCACAAGTGTTTACTCAGATACTTTGTGGTAGAATCACCAATGGGTGCTAAGTATCCCGATGTGGTCAACAAATGTATCAAACATGCATGGAGGCAACGTGGGACACTGATTGCCCGAAGGTAGGGGTTTTCACGGAACATGGATGCATACACAATAATGAGGCTTCCGACCAAGCTCCCCCGGTCGGGCTTGTTCTCGTCGTTCGGAGGCCTCCGTTCACCTAAAATGCACAAGCGACAGTTTCTGTGTGTAAAACAGAAAGAAACCCCATGGGCCCAGTAAGTAAGGTTGCACATCAATGATACTCACATACAAATCGACCCAAATGGTATGTGCTGTGCACTACACCTCACAGCAAAAACAGGCGGACGGCGAGAATCTAGTGCGGACGCAAAAAGAAGGGGACCTTGAAAAATTAATCACTCTGATTGGTTCACAGCTCCTCCGGACCCAGTAGGTTCGTTAAGTATTTGCAACATTTACTATTAGCATTCCACTCCAAGGGTTGTAGCTAATCCGCTTAAGCCCCATTCGTTATGCTGACATGGAGTGTCCAGTCACCTTGTCACTATCAATAAAACATCCCTCCAGAAATTCGTCTGCACTTAGCACGAATTTGACCTTTCCCTCGTCCGTTATCGAAGCAGTTAGCGAATGCCAGAGATTAACGATCATCCATGACAGTCGGAACGTAACAGGACGCTTTTACTCATTCCGCCCTCATCGTCATTACTTAAAAGCATGTCCGTGAGTCTTAGTGTTAGTATGGCCATTAAGTGTGAACAAAGGTGACTGGTTCGGCCATGACCAGGCATAAATTTGAGGGAAAGATGTTCTGCGCTTCCAGTTTGTCTATATTAATAGTGAACCAGTTTGTTATTTCCCTTTGTGCGAGGAAACTTCACGATGCGTCCATATCCTGGATGCAACTGTATGTTCGTGCAATAATGTTTGGCGGCGCGAACCTATCTCAGGACCCTTAGAAACGCCGCGAAAATACAAAGGGCCTATATTTTTGTTCTTCTTGTTGTCGCCATTCTGAGGCCTTTTCAGCTTGAAAAAACTCAGTTTTTGCACATTCATCGGAAAATGCGATAACACCTTTGCTATCAGTGTTGAGTGAATTCAATTCCTCGGGCTGACGGGGATTTGTGTGACTGGTGACCATTCAGAGAGACGACTCACATATAACTCCGTATGATTCTGTCCTTTTTCCCAAACTTCCCTGTACTCATAATCCCAGTCAGTCCTGCTTTGATGGCAGCATTATAATCATGCCTAAAGGTACGCCATCCACGAGTTGGGAATAAGCATTATCATCGTTATTAAAAATCGAGTGTGTCAAGTCCTTTCAGGCCTATCATACTCAGGCACAATATAGTAACCGCTCCAGCGAGCCTCTACACGTCGTTCGGTGGCAGCGATACATATGCCTCTGGGGTTCCATAAATTACATCTGCGTTCCCATAGTGGTTGTAGAATAGCGTTGCTCAACACCACAAGCCAGCGAACCAGCCATTTCCTTGGAAAGACGGTGTTGCCATTTACAAGCTCAGCGCTGCACAACGTCAGGACGATGAAACTGCTGACCAGTTTTACGCACACATTAGTGCAAATGGTGCCTGAAGTCTCCGGTAACAGAGCAAGCGTCTAGCAGCAACTTTGTGTAGAAATGTGCGTGTAGATTTTGCTATGTTCTTTACCGATGCTTAAAGTAACACAACCCTGCTCGTCCACCTCCATGTTTGATAGGCATCACATGTGGAGTTCGAGATAAACCCTCCATGACTAAGTGTGCCGCTGCAGCGAGGGTGGTGGACGTTCTGGCGATCATTCGCGAATTATCATAGAAGTTATTGTCAAACCGATGGCTCTCGGAAATGGAAAAGGTGTCTGGAAGTTACAAGGAGCTAAAGAGTACAAAAAGCTACCCAGAGGCATTTACGATGGCGGATCAACGAATTTAATCATCTGTCTACCTGGTTCAGAGGACACGAAGATAAGTAAGTTTCGAGATTACATTCCATGCTACTAATTACTGGGGACTTGGGCAGCCCACAGGAAACAAATCTCTTATTGTATTTTCACATTATCAGAGTAGAAGACATGCTTAAGTAATGCGCAGTGAATACGCATTCTGCGAGTTCCCTACCGGTCATGCACCTGCAGGGGCACAAAACGTTCTTGAAATAATCCAACTCTGACAGCTATTACAAAATTTCAATACTGTCAGGTTGTTCTCACAGTTATGGCTACCTGTCCCCGACCTGTGGTGTGCCATTTCAGTTTGTTTGGATCCCACTTTTTGAGGTTTGTCTGTTGATTCGTTTTTACTCTTTTGTCTCTGAATCAACAAACCGATTGCACGTTGCTTTTCAACATTTGTCTTGCAGAAGCATCAGGTTATTCATCGAGCCGTTATTTTACGTAAGTTACGGTTAATTTCTAATTGATGTCCTTTATCACGATGTAAGCAGATGCAGAAAATGTTCAGCTAAAGTAGCTAACTAATGGGCTTCTACATTGGCCTTCTCTAGAATTCCGAATGACAGCGGCACTGTGCACCTAGCTTAAAGAAATTTATAGCGTATACAGAACAGTCACACTATGGCTGGGCTAACGTTTGAATGCCTCTTTCTTAAACGCGATGCAATCTCCGGAAAGAAATTGAAAAATTTCAGGGTGCAGTCATTTCACCTGAGTTGGCCATGACTGTAAATTGTGGTATAAACCTATTATTAGCGTAATATGATCTTCCGAATTATTCTGCCCTAAGTACACCACTCACATTCACACCTAAAACAAAGAAATCCAACAACTTCGGTACTGAAGACTAGTATCAGCGGAAAAAATATGACAACAATTTGCAAATGCGCAGTAGCCGTATATTTTATGTACAAAGCAAACAACCTAATAACCGTTAAATTTTATTTTGCCAGCACATTTTTTACAGACCACATACCAGGCTCCCTTGTGCTAATGTCCAGTCCATTGTAAGAACGTTGAAGAAGCTCATTGACTGCCATTACATATTTTCTTGCCCCTGCATATTTGATTAGTCCAGAAAATGTAAGGAAATTGAAGCGTTCCTCCAAATGTGTAGACCGCATTGTCATCCATCCAAATGGTGCGATAACCACATTAAGGGGACTGCGGCTTGTACATAGTAGTAGATTGTGCGCTTTTTGGACCTGTTGAGAACTCAAATATGTTGACAAGTTACCGATGGGCCTGACTGAATCGTTTTTTGGGCATAGCGCTTTCCAGGTGAACAGCAGCTATGTCGGAAGGTTCCCAAACGGTATGTCCTACACTTCCACGACGCCACACTGAAGGTATTTAGCGGCGAATTGTCGTGACAGTAAAACATCATCCGAAGGTGCTAATTTGGTCTCCGCCACATGAACGTTGTAAGCAAAGAATGCCTACCCCGTAGCTGTGACAACCCACATATTCGAAAAAATATGGCACACACCGCGTACGGCATAATGTCTAGAATAAATGAAGGCAGTTAATACCCGGCTTAAAGGAACCATTCGGCTTCTGAAATGTCATATGTAGCCTATGAGTGGTCTATTTTCTGAGTCGTCGAACTGTTTGCCGAGCCCGGCATTGAGACTGAAACCAAATAATCAAAAACGTAGATGGCGTCGACAAGATCTTACTTATTTTGTTATTTATTTATTTATCCTGGGTATTGTAGGAAGTCCACTGAACCGCAGTTCAAACTTTGGAAATTCCTCCTCGTGGTGCTTGACCTCCATCCCCTGGAATATCGTCGCCTCCAAAGAGACACATACTTATGCCTTATAAAGGAAACTACGCACAAGGTTGCTGAAAAATCTTCAACCTAATGAGTAGTTTCCTCTATAAAATTTACTGCGATTTATCGAATATCGTGCAAACTGAATCGCGAGGCGGCCTGTGTGCAGTAAATTCAGTTGTTGAATATCATAACGAGAGATTCAGTTGAGTCCCTCGTGATAACCATATTGATTTGCAACTAGGTGTATTACTTATGCCTCGTTTGGGCGAAGTTTGGCCAACAGATTTCCACCGTTGATCCGGCTAACACACGGCGGGGGCGTAGCAAGATTTTAAAACTCAGAGCGCACACTTTCACCAGGGAATTTTTAACCAGTTCCGGTAGCCGCTGCGTGGACCTGCCTTCCTCAGACGGTGGTCCACGCTCCATCTGGTACCCGATGAGGCACACTGTTGGACGCCTCTCATAGGAGACCTCACGCCCGCAAAGTTACCGCCCATCGCTGAGAGCTTAAGGGGAAGCGCTACACCGTTTTTTCACTCGTGTCTTTCGGGTGAACAGTTGCCGCTGAGCGACAAAAACAAAGCCGTCCCGGGATACCTATGCGAAAGCCCCAACCTCGAGTATCAATCCATGAATCCGTGAACTGTGACTTTAAGCACGTATGAGATTTCGTTAGGTGTCAATAAAAATGACGCTTCATCTAGTTGATGGCAAAGCTGTCGACCTCAGTCACGAGAATGCCCATACTTTGGTGCATTGCATATCGCAACGGTTAGCTAAGTTGGACGACGCATAGTTTTGGCTCTCAGGAGAACCATACTTTGTGCATTGCATATCGCAACGGTTAGCTAAGTTGGACGACGCATAGTTTTGGCTCTCAGGAGAAGGTAAAGTAAGTGAAAACCACGCGAAAATCTATCAGTTTACACGCGAGGGTTTTTACTCACCAAACGATGAATGCAAATTTCCGTCATCACAAGGATCTTACTAGCCAATTTGGGTAAAACAGAGCTACAAATTGCTTCGAACAAACCAAATACTTAGGATAGATGATGTTCGTAAGCTTGCACAAGGGAATCTACACGGAGGATCAACAGATCCCGAATGAGACATCGCTCATCTTGGCCGGAAATTTCGGCATCATATCCCAACATTCACTCGGCGAAAGCAAACTACCACCCTAGAACACAAACTTGGTGATTGCTAGCTTCCCGGAAAATGCAAAATTATTAGCCTCACTGACCTACGGCAAAAGGTTCTCGATTGCATTTTGAAGCAGTCAGTCGTAAATCACATCAACACCGACAACTTGCTATCCAAGGCAATCTCTTCATGACCGATCCCATGTGACAAACCGGCCGTACATTTGAACAGCCCAACACAAGCCGAATGCAAAACACCCATACCTGGTATCGTGTCCACCAATCTCAATAAAAGTCCTACACGTTTCACTGTTCCACAGACACTAGTCATATGGTACCCTTGGGGGAATTCCGCACCGGGTTTAGGCCTTCCTTTCGAGTAAAAACTTCTGAGCTAAATTTGGATGAACCTACATTTCCTCTGCACTGGTATCCATTGGAAATATGAAGCTTCCGTCTAAGGACTACACATCATTCTGGACTGCCTCACTAACTTTCCCGACTCGCTCACGATTTGATGTCTGTTTTGCAGACAAGTGGAAATCTTGAAGTTTCAGGCCCAGCGCACTTCAGTCGGAAGTCAACTTCTTAGGGAAATGGGCACTGGTCTGGCACACCACTCAAAAGGAATACAGCTAAATGTTTTTTGTGCAAGGTGAGAACAAACCAGAAAACAATTCGAGGTCACATGGAGAAGAATTTAGGTCTGTGGTTCTCTTCAAGTATGTCTCTATCACCCCAACAAAAATGTGACTCAAAAGGACTTCTTCTTTCGGGTGACTGAGGCACGTTCACTGTATTACCCGTATGGGCTTCCAGGTGTTCCATGGAACCTACGTCAGAGCGCAAGAAAGATACAATGCACCTTTGAGCTTGTCTCCAACAAAGAATGTTGCTGGTCTCAAACCCGTTGATTACAAAATGCAGCTAAAGGTTCCTTAAATCTTCCTAGTGGATAATCGCTGCCCCCAGAGGACCTAATGCTTACTTATGTCTTGTTTGAACAATGCTTCACAAACCGGGCTGTCACGGTTAATCCAACGAATACAAGGCTGAGGCATATCGGGAAGATTTTCTAACTCCGAGGGCACTCTATCATTAGAGAATAATTCCTCTCACTTCATGTTGTTGGTGCGTGGAATAAACTTCGTCTGACATTTGATCACACTGCTTCTGGGACACGTTTCCAATCAATTTTGGATACATTTTCTGCAAGTCTTCGTGATTGCAAGCTTATTGTCCAGCGCCGAAGCCCTAAAGAGCGGTGATTTTCTCGCTAGTGCCATCCAGGTGAACGGAGGTCAATTGGCCGAAAGGAGTCGTAGTACGACGAGAGCGAATTCGCCCCGCAGACTTGGGCGAAAGCCTTGGTCCCATGTACCAATCAGTGAGCCCGTGAATGTACCTCTGTCGAACTTATTGACCAATGGACTACAAGATTCCTGGCCGGTCTGATGGTGGCTGCGCGTGGAGGCTGATGGATGCTTGCTTCGCAAATACAGCGACACCGGGTTCTTCGGAGAAGGACATTGGATGTTTGACCCAGCGAAATTTTCACTATGCAACATCAAATGGATTTTACACACTCACAGGCGTTTTGGAATATCTGCAGTCAGAATGGGCCAAAATGGAAATGGAGCGTTCGGAATGGGAGGTCGAACGCGCAGAGTTGCAGGTAAGACGTGTAATCCTTATGTTTATTTGCTAGGCTCGAATCGCCTTTTTGCAAGGAGAGTGCAAGGGTCAGGAAAATTTGAAATCTGATCTTGTTCGGCGGATTAAGATGTTGGAGTATGCTCTGCTGCAGGAGAGGAACAAAAATTTCGAGCTAAAATATCCCAATGAAAACCGACCTACTCTTCAAGACGTTCATTTACGGACCAATGAAGCCACACCGAGCGTAGAGAAAAGCCATCGACTGGGTACTGAGGCTATGCGCTGGAGGGAAGAACGAATGCGCTTGAAAGAGTACGTTTTGTCCCCCTTCTTTTTATGAAAGCAGAAATAGATATGTCTAATTACCAACTGGAAGTTTCGACAAAGCATATAGCAGTGTGTGAGGATAGAGCAATCAGAGAAAAGCCGCTTTGTTATTCACACCGGTTCATTGGATTGGCCTCATCAGGTTGCAGGTTACGGGATGCAGAGTAATCTCGTGTAGGATCATTCACATGGGCTAGATGATATCGGGAGACATCGGCACAACAGATCAGCTAATTTTAGCCCGTCTGGTTGGCTAATAGTGAAGTCCGGAGGGCAGGTTTTTGTCGCCACGTATTTGATTGTGCAAGTGTAATTCGGTCGAAACGGATGCTCAGTGATATCGATTATGTGGTGAGACCGTGTTTGAGGCATGGGAGACGACTACAAAACTGGAAGTGGGCTGCTGTCCCGCGAGTACGTCCTTCAGTTCTTTTCGATTCTTATCAAGGCGGTCCAACAAGAGACCCGCATTATAACTATGATTATTTCACTCCGCAGTAACATCTTATCACCAAACGTTTAAACACGGTATCGTCGCCAGGTGATATTACCTTTACTAGGGGTCGGTCTTCTCGCGTTAAAGCTGTCACATGAATGCGTGAGCCTGACATTCTGTTCTGTTTTTTTCTGTTTTTCCCCCTGTTTTTCTTTCTAACATTACGGTGTACGATATATATCTAGCTTTACCGTCCAGCACGGGTCCACTCAATAGTCTCGTCAACCACGGCACTGTTCTCCAGGATTTTGGGATGAAGCTATGAAACCTACCATATGTGACTCGTCACATACCTCACACTTTTAGCTCTGGTTCACTTGTTTGTGAGTGCGTACCGTTTTCTTTGCATGTATTAGGTGTGTCGCCATATAGATGTCTTGCCTACTAATTCCCCCTAGCACTGTGTACATTCACCAATCGCGCATTTGCCATACCGTTTCTTTCCAGCTACCTAATCAGTGCTGGACTTGGGGACGCAATGGCTCAACTTCGCGAGACACGAGTTCAGGATCTGTTGGCGACGATAAATTCAGAAATAAGGGGAGATTTGGACGACTCAGGCGTTCCTTCACGTTTTCAAGGTGAGGCTGTTTTTTTTTTAAGTTCGGACGAACACAGGATGGCTTAAAGTACTGAGTTCCTATTTAGAAAACCAGAAATTCAGATAGTCAACCACTTATACGCCACTCTCTTCTGTTTGATGTCATCAATCTTAGTTCACGCTGTGCGACACCTACCCCCAATTAGCTGTGATATTCTTCGGTCGATGCCATGACAATCACTTTTGGTGCCTTCTGAATTTGACCATTCAGGTGACTTTTGGAATTTAACGTCGGTTGCTTTGCGCCCAAGCTGAGTACATGTACGATAGGACCTCAGTGCTTGCGAGGAAATTGGACGGTTACCCTGCCTTTCAGGTATAGCTACTGTAACTCAACTTGGAATCCTAGGACCTTTTAGATTATGGAACATCAAAGAGCCTACTGTGTGCCACCTTCGAGCTTCTGATAATTTCTGGACGACAACTGAAGTGCAATCGAAAATTGTTCTTAACAAGATTATGTGACCACTAGGTTATCCGCTGCTTAGTTCGGGATCATATCTGTACAGAAAAATCAATGGTGGTTAAAATGTGCTCAAATAAAAATAGTAATATTCATCCGTTACCGTATTTAACAAGGTATTCTTTGTCGGCCATGGCACCTTGATGGCACATCTTGTGTTTCATACGGGTTACGTGACAACTAGCGATAAGAAGGTACCATCCGAACCATATTACTGGTCATAGTCAGGTCAGCCGGTCATAATGAGCCGGTCAAGGATAGGATGAACCATGGTGGTTCAAATGCTTGCACCCCCGCTCGGTAGATAACTGCCGTGCTGTATAAATTCTGTTATTCATTATAGGATTCGATTAATGCATTGTCCTAGTTGTTGTGCGACAACATTTTTTCTGGAATACATAACCATCAGAGACAGAAACGTCACTGTTGACACTGATACTTCACTGCCGTACGACCACAAAGTTTATCTAATTATATTTAAGGCCTTGAAGTGAAAATAAGAGAAAAGAATAGGTGAGAGAGGGAGGGGATTTAGTTCTGGCTTATAGCAAGCATTCTGAGGTTTATATACCTCCAAGCTTTTGTCATACGATGTGGAATGAAAGAACGTCATTGACACCGATCAGGCACGATCCGTTGCAATATCTTCAGCCAAGCGCAGACGGAGTCACTGGGACATGATCCTGGGAGGTTTTCAGCATCATCAACACAAACTTTTCGTAACCCCTTTTACATCCTTCCAAGTCATGGCGTAGATAACGGGAGACAAAACGTACCCCTACACAAACTTTTCGTACCCCTTTTACATCCTTCCAAGTCATGGCGTAGATAACGGGAGACAAAACGTACCCCTCTACGGGCGCGTTCCTTGGGCGAAGGGGGGGATAATAATGGTATCGTGTAGTCGTGCTATCTATGTCGACTGACTTCGAAAGCGTTAGTGTTTTAGACCGCGGACTACAGTTCACACAGCAGTGGCTGATGGCCCGAACGGTATTAACGTAAGAGAAAGCATTAAATGTGAGCTTGTGCGAAGCCATTTTAAGTTAGCTAAATTGACGGTCATGTTTAGTTATCTGTACAGGGGTCTCGTCGACAGTAGTGGTTCGAACTAAGTTGCGATGGCCAACATGAAGGTAACTCAGAGTCCCCAACCACTAATTTGTCATGTTACATAGACCCACAAAGCTAGTAAACGGAGGAATCGTCAACTGGAATGTTTTGAAACCTAAACTCGACCGAATTCGTGCCACTTCCCCCTTAACCATCGGTCCTCAGACTTAGTCACTTATACCATCCAGCACGCACTTTCAGTCTATATCCAATATCGTCGCTTGTTGACGGATATTTCGGTGGTTGGTTCCTTGTATGCGTTCGAATTCACTTTCTCCAGCGAAGCTTTCATGTCGAAATCGAAACACTGCTCAGTACTAAATCCACCGGTTCTTTGCGGTACTTCTTTTTGAATAGCAACACACAGGCTTCCGTAGCTCGGCTTGTCTTGCTGAAGCCACAAGAATTCAGTTTATGTTTATTGTTTGCTGTCTCTATTTGAGTTGGCTGTAAGTTAGTAACAGCCTTATGGTGAAGGAATGACTTGTCCCTGAAGGAAATCCAACCACCTAGGATGCACGTGTCCTCTCTTTGAAAAAGTGGTTCTTTTGTGTCGTTTGGTTGAAATGACTCAAGTGGTTAGAGCGCGAATTTACTGACTGGAAGGTCCGTGGTTCGAACCCGACCTCTGCCTCTCGACTTCCCCTGCCTAGGCTTGGGGGACCTGGCAGTATCCCAGCCCTCGTGCTTCCTTCGGATAGCATGGCAGCTAGGCACCGGAAGGGTGTTACAGCTGAACGATTTTATTTTTTATTGTTTTTGTCGTACGGATGAACATCGTGCATCAGTGGAGCAAACCTTTTTGCAGTTCACCGCGTCCGTTAGTTATCAAGTGCCGGAATACTTGAACGTTTTGTGCATCGTAGTCCTACTTGAATCAGTGATTCGCTTCTCGGATTTTGTTGGGGGTCAATTGTTATCCAAAAAATCATTATGGATCCAGATTCTTTTGAAACTTTTGCGCAGTTTGACTTCATATCTGTGCACCTTGCTGGAAAACTATTTCAGACCCTGGGTTGTCTACCGAACCAGTTGAATCCGACCGCGACAATGAGGGCCAACATGTTGCCATCACTTCCTCCATTGGAAACCTTGAGGACCGATTACCACTCAATGTAGATGAGGTAATTGTAACACACCATCTTTGTATTTGCAAATGCATGTTTTACCTGTTCAGTTGCATCCACTATTAATCAAACTAACTGGAACAATTATCTGCAACTCTTGCCAACGGGCTAATTTTGTGATAGTTTCCCCTGGAGTTATTGAATGCTTTCGTTTTTGCTCTGCCTGTGTGAGCTCTATCCACAGATCACCAAGGTCCTTATTCGCACGGTTTTATCTGGCGTCGGATTATATGTCGGGCTGAGTCGTGGTTGCGGTCTGAAGGAATCTGCCGTTGGGCCTCCAACAAAACCCAGGTATTATCAGAGATCAAATGTTTAGATGAGGTTGGCTTGGTTGTGCTGCAAACGGAAGTTACAGTGCTGAGTAGCTTTATGGATGTCTGCCCTACGTGGCCGTTGATGTCTGACATACGACGGTCCAGCAGGCTTCCGAGGAGTCGATTCTGATGTGATTTCTGGATCCATCAACTTCTCGGTGACTAACATGGTTGTACGAGGGCTGGGATACTGCCAGGGCGCCCACACCTAGACAGGAGGACGATTAGGGTCCTCAACCAAAGCCTTTGGCTCAAAAGCCTAACCGCAAGGCAGCGGTGTTTGGCGGGAAATGCAAATGCATTACCATTTCTACGGAACAAGTCGCCACATGTTCCAACACCCAACCTGGAGGGCCAGGAGACTGTGTTCGTCAGACCTCTAACCAATGACCGACCTGGTATGAGAGACTCTGTGAGTGTCGCGAGACAATCTCCAGTATAGCTCAATGGATCGCTGAGATGCGCAAACCGTCACACCACGGTAAGGTCCAGTCTCCTGAAACATGAGGTGGCCTGGTGCAGCACATTCAGTTGCCTGAGAACATCATAAACGAGAGATTCAACTGGGTTCCAGGTGAGTCTCTCGAAAGAACCAAATTAGTTTGCAGATGAGTGTATATTCGCTAATATTCCTACAAGTTTACATGAGTCTACCAGCGAAATGGCTGTAAATTTGGATACTCACACACTTAAAGGGAACATTGGAGACGGCGATTTTGCCGCTTTGGTTCTCACCTGCGGGCAAATCGAACCTATTACTTCACACATAAGCACAATTATTACGATGGGATACATTCATTTTGCAAGAAGTGTAAACTCCGAAGTTTTTGCACTCGATCAGACACTCAGAATGACGTACACAGGTGTAACAAGTTTCCAAAAATAACCCCTATAAGTTCGGATCATATCATAATCATTGCATACTGGATAGTGTTGCCAAACCTGATCGCAGCAACATGGTCATAGGTGTCCTAAATGTACGGAAATGCTTGTTCAGTTTAGTGTACAAATTAGAAAGCTGATAGAACAAGTGAACCAGATTGACTGTCGTGGCGCCACAAGATCTATGATAGTGGCTGGATTACGTTTATTCCAATCCAACTGATTCTACGTTTCAACTTGATAAGAGCTGGTGTCATTTCAGTAAGCCATCATTGGCAGTCAGGTGATGGACCCCTGCTCAACTAACGCTCGTGTACACGCAAGACATTCTTTTAGTATGAGATGAGCATATAAAGCTCCTTGAGCATGATATTTTCATATAGTTTGCATCCTTATTGCCGAACATGAACCCGTTTTTGGACAGTTATTCGATACCACTTTAGAATTGTCAGGGGTTCTTTGGTAAAACAATGCTTTTCTGGAACTCTGTAAGATTGAAAAGCTGCAGCCGATCTGATCGGACAGAAATACATTCAAAGCCCAACAAAACTATCTCCTTTGGGCCAAAGTTGTGCTGAATGACATCAAAGTAAATTCCCAAAACCAGTTACCGACCAAATCCACAGTAGAATAATTGCTCCTGTCATCGCATTTTGAACAAACGGGATCAAGGTAAAAGCAAGTTGCACACGCGTTCACAGTGATAGAAAAAGCACAAACAAGAACAATAACACGGGAATATTTTGCCTTTAACAGCACTTCACATCATTTTATCCTTTATATTACTCGCAAAAGACTCACTTGTCGCATTGTCTCATTCATCAAAAGATCGATAATTACCTCAATGTAAAGCGTTATTGGTAGCTAGAAAATTACTTTAATTTACTTCCATTTGATTGAGTTAACAAAGGCAATGTCAGTTTCCCCTAATTTCCTCATAAATCATCCTGGCAGTTCACGCCATTTTTAAATCTTGATGAGCAAGGTTTTGTAGTCAGGAGAATGTTGATATCTGATGTAGCATAAGTGGTCGTTGGTTTATCCGATCAGCTGACTAACTTAGTTGAAAACGTTTCGTCACGGATCGGGATCTCCAGTGCGCTAATAGCAAGTGGGTTGAAGCGAAGTGGTGCATCAGTAGTTGTGCACTGACTAGTGGAGCGTGGGTTAATATACATGCTGTTCACCGCGGCTGACCTACGTTCACCACTGGTTTTTCGGTGGCACTGTTCTATTGGTTTGTCTGTTATTGATGATGATTGATGATGATGATCGATGACTAACCGAGTTGTTCGCCTTTGGCGTAGACATGAATACTTCGATGTAAGACGGCAGCGTACAAGTTCTGGTGTCCCGTAAGGATTGACCGTCACCACATGTAACTGACGCCGATGGGCAACAAGTCAAGCGATTGCCGCTGTTCCGGAGATGGATACTTCAAGCGAACAGTCTGTGATAGGCACTATCTGATTTGGACGATATCCGTTTTGCGTCTGTTATCCAATATAAGATGACCAGCTGATCGGGCCCACTCACATTTATTCGGTCTACCTTAGCGGTAATGTCACTAGCAACCCTAACAATGTTTGGATTTCTAGCCCATCTTAGAAACGATCTTTGGTGGATTCAGAGCTGCAGTCAGTTGGGGCATCAGCAAACAATAAACAGGGTGCGATGGATCTCATTTTCTTGAGGTTCTCTCACAGACTTTGCCAAACGAACCGCGCAGGTGCCACTGTCAACGGGTATCCAACGAACTGGCGACGCTTCCGATCGTTCGCTCAGTGCATGCCCATCCCAACATATCCAGTTGCATCGCCCTCCTCATCACCAGAGGTGGGCAGCAGAAGCCTGGAAGAGAACGAGGAGGTAGTCAATTTGGTTAGAGTGCTTGCGTCCTGTATCCTTTTTTTGAGAGATAACATATGTCAATGCAGAAGGAATCCAGTGTACGAGGAAAAGCCACCTGTTTTAAGGCTTGCTTCAGTGTGCGAAGACTAAAGACAGCTAATTAGACCGGCTTTCGGGGTTTGAAAGTAGACTTCGAAGTGCTTAGGGTTGTCACTCAAGTCGGAAGCTACTTCTGAGTGTATGTGATGGACGGTGAACAAAGGTGTCAGTTCTATTGTTGGGACTCTCTAATTGGGTACGGTACGTGGTGTGAAAGTCGATCACGAAGTTAAATAGGAATGAAGAAAGTTGGAACCCATGATAAACACCAGTTTGTGTACGGAAACTTTTCGAGGGCCTCCGTTTACCCTTACTCTTATGCCTTATGCTGTGTAGTTCCGGAAGTATTCCACTATTGAATGTGCGTCTTTTCAGCTTAACGTGGAGGAGCCCTCCGTATCAGAACTCGGCGACGGATGGGATGTTACAGACCCAGAAACAGCCGCGGCCCTTGCGGAGTTCGAGCTTCTGGTAGCACAACAAGGTTGCATCGATCGAGTCTCATCTTCGGTGGAATTCAGGCCAAGTGCGTTGGTTTCCAGTGCTTATGTGTTGTTCTTAGCTGTACAGTCATTGCGCACAAAAACACGTTGAGGTTGTATGCGGCCCTTTGTCACTTTAGATTGTATTTTGACCAGCCCAGTTAAAGGTACTTCGTTTGTGGACAGTAGACTGAATATTGACGATCATCAACGATGCTTCTCCCACTAACAGTTTTATCCCCAGCAAACCTGTATACTTGTGCGTAATCCGTACCTTCTCTTGACTATCTGACAGAGAAGAGTGGTGATCTGCCTGATTCTGGTTCCACAAAATGGCTCGGTGATGAACCCACAGCTCTCAAGGATTGGGATGCACTAGACGAGAAGGAACTGCTTACTCGTTTCAAAGAACAGTATCGTGCTGACCGGTCCAAAGGTATACTTGTTCTGTGGATCTAGAACTACTGTCACGTGTTTTTTGTCATGTAGGGGAGAGAATTTCATACTATTGTGCTACCGTTGTTCTATCAGTGTTCTTTTTTCACTCGCCGAACCTACTAGTTGTTGTAAGGGCATGTCACACTTGAGCACATTTTGTGGTAAAGTGAATAGTTCAGCCATTCCTACAGTGTTTTGGATCGTCCATGTTTTTAGTCGCAATCCAGTGGATTTCGGACCACATATGTTCACTAGACGTAGTTTCCCCTTGAATTACCTTATCTAAATGGGTTTCGCTTGACGATGAACACTTAGTGACATGTACCAATTTCAAATTCCACAGCCTTGTTAATTAGCGCCATCATATGAAAAAAAGAAAGTAAGGCACCAATCACAAGGCTCAAACCCTTTTTTCCATGCTATGTAATGTGTGATTTTCACTGTGAATTACTGGAAACTCAGATTGTGATATATTATCACACAGACTATTTCTGGTGAGGTATCAGTGTGACTTGAGTCTTGATTGGCCATCTTATTAGTTTGTCCAGACAGACGCTCATTTGCAAGTCAAGGATGTGGTGGACTCAAGTGAATCTACCGTCCGTGGTAACCTCAACCCGAGTACCGCACAAAGACCATCTCATGATTTTGGTTGGACCGAGTTCGGTATAGCAGGGAGGGAGGGGGAATACCTTAGTGGTTAAAGCGCGATTTTACTGACCCGAACGTCCGTGGTTCGAACCCAGCCTTTGCATCTCGACCCCTCCTGTCTAGGCTTGAACAACCTGGCAGTATCTCAGCCCTCGTGCTTCCTTTGGGTGGCATGACAGCTAGACACCGAGAGGATACTACAGCTGAACGATTGCATCGAAGTGTTTTCCGTGATTTGACTCATCGACAGCCTGCTACCACTTGCCCTTGCTATTGGGACTTATCAGATATATTAGTCCTTAAATGTCCGTTATCCTTATTTATTGCCCATACACTAAATTTTGCGTACACAAAACCATACACTCTCAAGTGAAAATGATTTTAATGGTGGGCTAAACTGGATCTGTTTTGAATTCTTCATTTTGTGCAAAATATTTGAAGTTTCATGAGACTGGGTTTGCCGTTATTACCATCTGCTTTTTTGGGAAGCCACTGGTAGTGTGTCCAAAAGGTCTCGTGAACCTTACAAGCCGTGTCCGACCAAGAAAGGGTATTTCTTTTAAAACGAATATGGCACGAAGTAACGGTAGAGCCTTATTACTCGAGGTTATTACTCTCTATTTCTTATGATAACTGACAGATGTTTAGTGCTCGGAATTCGACTTTTACCAGCGGCATCGTAGTTACGGTCATTTTCCGTCAAAAATGGTTCACTTGTCCAAAGTGGCTACTTTCGGTTGGCTCACCGACGTCTGTCAACCTGCTCGGGAACAAGATACTAAGTACTTCAGCTGTAACGCGATTGCGACACAGAGCTCCTGTGCCACCCGAATGAAGCACAGGAACGAGGATGATGCCGGGTTGCCTAGGCCTGGCGAGGGGCAGTCGATATGCTGGGTTTCTCCTCTGGAGTGTAGGGGAAGTCTATCGGTATGATTTCAAAGGCATTACTTTATGGTCGTTTCGTCAACTTCCTACTCGTTACCGTCAACGTTGTTATTAATTTCAACGTATCTTAACCTGTGTATCGTGTCTGAGCGTTAATCGGATGACAGTTTACAATTTTTAGTCATACTCACTTTTAAAGGTGCTGACGGGTCTACACAACACTCTATTGACCGTGGGAACCAACAAAGCGGTCAGTATTTAAAATAACTTCGCATCGGTAGCCCATAAGCATGGGCTTGTATAAACTCTTCTAAGGAGAGGCTTAATGCAACAAGAAGTTGAATTTTCGAAGAAACCGCTAGTGACAGACGTTTATCCGTGGTATTTTTTGTCGAGACTGACTCTAGCCCCAAGTTTGCCCACTATCCAATCACGGAACTTGATGTTGGTCGTGCTCTCTTGAACACCTGTCGTGTTTTGTGACCCTTTGGATGCTCTCACCGTGTCTGGCATGGTGCTGATTTCTGGGTGGCGGTATGGTTACTGTGCTCGTTTGTGCCTCAGCGCGGAGGCTGAAACCAAGATGTCTAGCCGAGACGCCTGGTTCGAGTCTACTCTTTATCTACGTTTTTTGGACGGTCTCACACCATCACGACCCCTGTGTCTTTTGCAACCTGGATAGCGATTGCGCACCTTAATGACGTTTTGGGCATGTTGACTTTTTGGTACATTCCAGTCCAACTTAGGTCTTCTAGTACAGCCATAGCGAGTAAGTACATTACCCGCTCTAACTGTCCCTTATGGTATCTTTACATCTGTTTCACTTTGTACTCTGCATACTAGCACACCGTGTGGGTGGCCGCTCTATGTCTGCACTGAAATCTCCGTTGGAACAGCAACTTGATGTCGGTGAGTCCAATATCACAGCGGAATATCCACTTGGCTCTCTCAATGAAGATATCGATGTGAAAAGACCCTTTCAAGCCGATTTCCCGTCTACTAATACTCCGATTGTGGCGGACGATGTAGATGACATTACCGACGAATATGACGCCATTCTATCAGAGGAACACAACTCTTCAAAACAATCGGAGATGCTGAACGCCCAAAATCTATCTGCGTCTGTGCCACCTACCAGTGTCAGTTTGTCGAAAACCGCACAGAAATCATCGAGTTCGGTATCCGCTTCACTTGGTTTGGGGGATCTTGCAAGCTTAACTGTTGCAAACGAATCTGAGTCCGGGCACTCGAGAGCTGTGTCTACCGTTATGGAGAGCTTAGATGGTATTGATGACCTATTGAAATCAGGATCTTCTGTCGATGGAGCTTCATCAGTTGTATCTAGCGCAGTTGCAACGACTGAAACCCCTCCATGGACTGCCAAATACACGCTCCGAAGCCACTTCGATGCAATACGTGCAATCAGCTTTCACCCGGTGGAACCCATGCTTGTGACTGCAAGCGAGGATCATACTCTAAAGCTGTGGAATTTGAACAAAACTGTGCAGGCAAAGAAGTCGACGAATTTCGACGTGGAGCCGGTAGGTTGTCAGTGTGTTTGCTTTTACCACAGATTTCTCTTTGCCATACTTTGTGACCGACTGTACTTATTTACTGTGTTTTGAATTGCCTCGTGCGGTAGATCTAGTCCTAGAACATTCAACAGTGAGGTTTTGAAATTTTGCGCTGCAGTCGATTCCTCTTCTGAAAAGAACATTGTATGGTCGTTTCATCCTTGTTGGTAAGTTGAGCTTGACTTAGCTCATCAGCTGGGGGTCGAAACCATTGACGGGAAGGTTCACGGTTCGAACCCAGCCTTGACTTGCCGTCTGCTTGTGTCTATGCTTGGGTAACCTGACAATATCCCAGCCTTTGTGCTTCCTCGGAATCGCACGTTAGGTGTGCAGCGAAAGGCTACCACAGCTGAACAATCATTATTTATTATTCCTTGTTGGGAATCTCTGAGGTAATCTAAACTCTCGACCGTCCAGTTAGTAGTTAATTGCTGCAGCCACATTGCGGGACCGTGGCATCAACTTGTACTTTGGCCGCTGTAAGCCATGCGTTGACCTCGGGATACTGGTGCTTATTGGTAAGTCTGGTGCCGGCTGTCACAGGCTGTAGTTCAATGGTGCACTTCAGTTTTCTGTTCAGAATCCTCATGTTATTGACTCGAATAACTCTATTGTCATAAACTGTTCGCTCTATTGTGTTACATTTCGCAGCTGTACTTGTATACTTGTCACAAAGTTTAAAGAATCCGCGATCGTGGAACTTTTTGCATCTAAAGGCGCGTTCAGCCATACTGAACAGAAGGTTTTTACAAGTAACCTTCGGGACTGTACTTTCCGAAGCCCGGACGTTCCCAGTGATGATTCTGTCTATTTACTACAGGCTATAATTGACACCATATGCTTGCAGACTTTGCAGAACACTTTGTACAGCACCCTGCACATGAATACGCAACGATCGCCAAACAGGACAGCCAACCTCTCATTAACCACGCTACACTCTGTATGAGGTACCATCTATGTACGAAGTGGTGACACTCGTTTGGCTTGAAGAAAGCAGGTATGCTTCACACGAACCGTGCGGGCTTCCTTGGGCATGTTACGTAACCATGTACGTAACCTCTTGCACCTGCAGCGCTATTAAAAATTGGAACCAGTTCCTGATACTTGTTTTGTTTATTACTTCCATACCTTGTGGAAAGAGGGGTGAACTGGCTCCGCTGATATCACGGATGACAGAAGCCCCAGAACAGCATACTTCACCAGAGTGTAGGTTTGGAAGTCATCTGGACACCGTAGAGTCCATCATTATCTTATTCGTTCGCGACTGTTCCTTAGGCAGAAAAACTGCACAGCCACGAATGTGAATGATTCACCACCCAAACTTACATGTCTCATGGACGTTGCCTGTCAAGATTTCGCAAGGTAAATAGGGTCTAGACATTTCTGTGATTTGATTTACCCTGTACGTCATACCAGTGTGAACTGTGCACGATTGGTCTGGAAAAGCTTTCATTGTAATGTGGGTTCTTTCTTCTGCTGCTCATAAAAACAACTTACCTGTGCACACTAAGTTTTCTTTTTTGTTTACATATGATGATGTTCCCACATGGCTTTGGTCAGTGACAGTTAGAAATGAAACTGCACAATCGCATCATTCCACTAACTCTTTTCATTTCACTAATCAGGTGTACACTTTCCGGGGTCACGACAACCCAGTGCTCTCCTTGGCCACATATACCGGGTCAGATGTTACCGAACCTGTTGGGTCCTCCTCGATGGTGCTTTTCTCAGGTGACCTTGCTGGTCATTTGCGTACGTGGCGTTTATCCAACTTGCGAGCTGACCCTTATGATGCGTATGATCCGGCTGTTCCCGGTCCCCTTCTCCTTGGCCACACGGATGCCATCTGGTCCATGTTCGTTCGGGTAAGTTTATTGCTTAACCAGAAAGGCTTTGTTTTCTGTCCCTAGAAGTTGTTCTCGGAAGGCGTTGAAGTAATGTCCTGGCCGAACTGCCCAGCTGAGTTTCAGTTGTCGCTGTGCTCTGGGCTTATGTCGGGTGAGGTTAGCAAAGGACGCTCGGTTAATCACGCCTTCGACGTGATGCTCGGATGTGTTTAATTAAACACTGTTCAAAGCTATAAGCACCTTAGTCCTGAAGTTTTTCTTAAGGATACAGATCGTTTTCCCACTGAGTTTCTACCACTCTTTGGACCTTTTCTTTCTTCATTATTGTCCAACAGTTAAGCGCCGGTGTATGTTGTCAGTGTAGTGTTGTCAGCGATGAAATCACAATGACACAAACAGATGCCAACCACATCACCGAGATAAAATAATCTCTCCCAGGGCATGGGCCATCTTCCTCGTTGCTAAATGTCCCTAGCATCTATGGGCAATATGCCTGCGTTTTGCGGTTTCTCGATAAGTTCACTCACTTGGAAGCAACATGGGATTCAATGGCCTAGCTAGCGTCGTCGCACTGAAGTCTGTGCTGCACTACCGGTGAAACTCTAATCACCCTGTTTGTCGGTTGCTCACGTTGCAGAGTAAGCTGTTTTAATCTTATTCAAGGTAGGAGTTCCTGGACTATATGGTACTCATTTCGTGCACATCACACTCAATTTCGGCGAAAGCGCCATCCCCCAGATGTACCAGTTTTACAGTGTGCCAGATTTCGCATGTCCTGATCCCACCAGATAGTTTCCTATGAGAATATCGTGTCAAAAATACCAGGTCCTCGAGTGTGCCATTACTACGCAGAACCCTGCAGTAAGTACCACCCGGATTTTCTTGGTCTGCACCGGCTAACAGAAATTTTTTGCGGTACTATATCACTGATGTGACTGCAGGTTCTTTTCAAATACTATGCAGTTGCTTGATGGCGTCCGATTCCGGCATTCTTCTTTATTGTCACTGGGTACACATCATTGTTAAAATTTTCTCCAACATGTTAATGCTGTTTTTCGCTATTGGCACTTTCGTAACATATTCTCAACGGAGGAAGAGATGAACTAGTGCTGGATAGAAGTCCTGCTTTCATCGACGTAATCCTTATAGTATTTAGTTCTCCTAGACATCCCACTTTTGGTGCGCCAAACAAGACGTTTTCGGGGAGAAATTAAATTCAGATTTGGGATGGTGGCAACTGCAGACATTTCAGAAATGCTTCCGACATATACTGTAGATTATACTAGTTCACTCGAAATCATGCTTATGCTTTGTTTTATTTGCAAACGGTTAGTACCCCATACTCACCTCTAGGGCCTATTAGCTTACCAAATTACGGAGATTGTTTTCGAGTAGTCGTATGAGTGAGGAAGGATCCGGAAAAAACTTCGAAAACAGTTTGACGAAGAATACTCCTCTATAGTCAACAGTTGGTATTTTTCGCGCTTCATGCTTTCACTCAAAAGTTTGGTGATTCGGTCCCCGGATTTTTTTACACTCACTCACGATTCATGCCTAATCCACGAAGTCTTCCTCAAGAAGACTTCGTAACGGAGGTTGATTTTATCAGCGTTATGTTCACTTGAGCCGTATATTCTGCTAGCAAGCATTGCAATCTTTTGATAAACTTGTGAAGAGTTTCCTGCGGTACACACAGGTACACAGACCAACAAACGTAATAAGGCAAATTTATTCTGCCGCCTATAGACGTAAGCCACGTTTATCACTTCTGTCCATCCTTTCGAAACCCTAAAGGACGGTAGTGCAGCGTGCTCCAATGCCGTTGTAACGAGTGGCGTTTCTAACAACGTTATATCCATGTGACGTTCTCGCATTATAACTTATCTGGTTGAGCTCTGTGTATCTATGGTCAATATGTTGATGGTACTTTATTGCACTCTGAACGGAATTCCTTCGTCGTTTCCCGTTAATTTCGTTCCTAATAGTTCTAAATGAAAATTTCATCTGCCTTGCAACTAAGCTTTTCGTGTCCCGGGTTCTGAAAGCTTAGACTGAGGGTCGTTTTTTAAGCTATAGTAATGAAAAAACCGTTCAGCTGTAACATCCTTTCGGTACCTAGCTGCCAATCCACACGAAGGAAACACTAGGGCTGGGATACTGCTAGGTTACCCAAGCCTACACAAGAGAAGTCGAGATGCAGAGGTCGGGTTCGAACCACGGGTCAGTAAATTCGCGCTGTAACCATTGAGCCACTGAGCTACAAACAATCAGCATTCCATCATTTTGATGAAATGATTGAAAAACTAATGAGAAACCTGCAGAAACTGTAAGTCTTTAGGGCTAAACCAGTGACTATGTTCTCTAGTTTTTTTTTCTAAAGCATCAACCAGCGTTTCGGAGTTTGAACCACAAACCAGAGGACTTTGGAGTGATTGATTTCCAGCGTTCCTTTGCCGGAGGTCAAGTGATTATCACCTGGGACTTGCCTGTTGCATTTTCTGAATACACCGAAGTTGCCAATTATTTGTGTTTAATGTCATTTTGAGTCCTGATCGGTTGGTGTGACTGGCAGTGCTGACCAGTTTCCCGACACTTGTTCTCCGTCATTGCAGTTTATGCTTTATGGTTCCCAGACGTCGAGTGACCGGATTGACTCCGTCGACTAGAAATCAGTCAGTTACTTCAAGTTTGTGTTCACATCCCCATTACGGCTGTCGGGTAAACAAAACAGTCCGGCTAAAGTCGTTGCAAGTACCATATGGTGTCCCGCCGTTTAGGTGATTGATGTCGTCGTGGTTTCCACACTCGGAGAGACTATAGTCTTTGGTATCGAAATATTGTCTTGGGGTGAACTTGGGTTCTGCGGATGATATTTAACAATCATTTGTCTATACCGTCTACTTCAGTTGGATTATTAGAAGTGCTCCTTTATTTTGGTACCGCAAGAATGTGGTGCCTTCAAAATTACCTGTCCCTTTGGGGTTGTTGCTCGGTTCACACATCTTGGAGACTGCATAGCCCAGGTTGTACTGGACTATGTACTGTACGAGTGAATGCATCCATTATCGAGGAAAGCGCAATATTAACCGATTCGCGCAGTCTTCGGCTTCGAAAAAGCACTTTACAGGAGCTAACGTTTGTGAGTCTTACTGTATGGCTGTGAGAAGTTACAGCTTTGTCCCGAGTGTCTTAGCGTAGCAGGCCCTAGTTCGCACCAACACGTTTGTGTTCGCCATAATTCTCCAACCCTCTTTCTTTATTCCGCCTTCCGCTTCTGTGGTTGCATGACACTTAAGCACTATTGTTTGCCACTGGTTTATTGCTGTCCATTATCAGAGTGAGCAATGTGCATGGTTGCTCGAAGCATCCTTTGATTTAATTGATCTACCTTATCCGCGTTCGGACAGGAGAGTGATTCCTCAGGGAAGGGTGACGTGGATGCAAGCTGGCAAGTCGCCAAACTAGCCTGAATCATCCGTGGTGCTACCTGACCTGCAATCCCTAACGAGTGGACCGTCGTTCAGTACAACGTAAACAGTTATGTGAGTGTCTTTTGAGGCATCGGGCAAACCACATATCACTGAAAGACGAATATATTCACCGGTTTGGAGTAGTGATTGGACTCACCTTGTATCAAGTGACCGAAGTTAAGATCTTGATTCATCGGAGGATGTGCGCCGCTGATGAACTCTACTAAGAACGCAACTCGATTCCAATGCTTTTGTTTTACTGAGAGAGATCAAGTAGAACAGAAAGCCACGTACCCCACAGTCGTCTGGTCAGTTGGGTATTCGGAGAGTATACGAAGAAAGGCCTACATAAATGGCATCTCGTAGTCTGGGCTAGTGGGTGGGTGTGATTGGATTAGTGGGAGAGCGTTGAGAGCTAACTTGCTAATAGCCGCCGCTTTCATTTGTTGGGAAAAAGGTCCTGTTAAAACGGAAAATTTACGGTCCTGCTAGCAGAGGACTTAGGCAGAAGACGTTGCTGATATGGGTTAGAGGGTAGCTGTCGAAAAAGTTATGAAATGTTGCACGTGTTGAATGAATTGGTTCGGTATGGGCGCAGGCAACACGCGAGTCTAAACATCTCGCTTCATTCTGTTGGTTACGTCCGCTTCGAAATTTCTAGAATGCCTGTATACCCGTCATCGTTTTCTTCAATTGTATGCACTAATTCATTACTTTACGCTTCTTTCCCTTATCAATTTTTATTATCTNCCGTCATCGTTTTCTTCAATTGTATGCACTAATTCATTACTTTACGCCTCTTTCCCTTATCAATTTTTATCATCTTTTAACTCTCTCTCGTAAACCATTTTTTATTACAGCCTGATGGCCTACTTCTTTCTGCCTCTGCGGATGGTACAGCTTGTTTATGGTCCACTGCACACATAGCTTCATCCCCTTCCACCGGTATTTCCCACCCTTCGCACGTCTTCCCGTTAACCCCTACTCTCATGGTTTCAAGACCGACTGAAATGGGATCCAAGGCCCCAGTTCCTACCTCTATCAGTTTCGTCCATGCGGAGAGAAACCACTTCCTATCTGGCTTTACCTCTGGGCACATCGGATTGTTTGATTTGGAAACCAACCAGTTAGTCAGCTTATTCCATCCGAAAAATAAGGCCGGTAAGCTTATTGTCTCCATTTTTATGATTTTTCTGAATCCACTAGCAGTTCTACTTTACCGTGTCCGAAATTTCAGCATATAACATGCATAGGCGAACCGACAGCTTTGTGGGCCATAAGTTTCAAGAAAGTCTGCAGTACGGGCCTTTGTTGAACTCAATCACAGGAGTCTGACTTCTGGTGATAACGCCTAACAAGCGTTTGCTTTTTGATTTCGAACTACTTGGACAGTGCTAGTAGTGAGTTCGGAGTGGCAGTTAATCCTACGTTCTGGGTGGCAGTGTTCTCATTTCGATGGCTTCCAAAGCAGTGCTATCCATAGTTACATATGATCTCAGACTAAACTGAGTATGATAAACAATATAGACCACACATTGCTGCTATCAACCCGTGGGATGCAAGGGGTCAGTGACTACTTTTGAGGACAGTTCACAGCATGATAACGTCGTGGGTTCTAAATAGGTTATTTGAGGTATATGCAATACCACCACTCTTCGAGATTGCTCATTCACTACTGTTTTTTTAATTCATCACTATCCTAAAACAAGAACGGTCCGTTCCAATACATACTACCAAGACAAAGCCCAAGGTAGACAGCTTCTGAACGCCTATTATCGGACCTTATTAATGGCTTCTGGCTCTCAGTGGTTTTATGTCAGTTTTCTTAATGAAGCCTTGCGTCTGGCTATTCTCATTCCCACAGATTATTCATTAGTTGTCAGTCGCAGTTCCTATTGGTCGGTAACTGCAATTCAGACACGTGATGATGGTGGGATAATTGGTTGTCCTATTGTTCGTTTAGGTTGCCTGATATAATGGCCGAGGTTACTGTAGAATAGAGTTTGTGTTGGAATGTATTTTTTGCTTGTTCTTCCTCCGAACCACCGTGTCTATAGTTCTTCTCGGATCCCAATATTCACCTTATCAACTGATTGGCACTATAAGCAGTCCTCGGTAGGTATGGATATCCTTCTTTTATTATTACGTAACTGGATTAAGGTGATGCCACAGATCCATGCCACAACTTCGAATCATTTGAAGGTCATTACTGGTGTCGAGTAGGTCTATGTGCTTACTTTTTACTTTCTTTATCCAGTGACTATCATTCATTAGGTTGAGCAGTTCGAGACGATATAATGCTGTTTTGTCCTAGAAATGATTGTGCGTTTTTTTTATATACGCGCACAGTAAAACCCAAGGCCTGACCAGAAAATATCGACTCTAGCTGCAAAGGTTAGTTCATGCATCGACATGACGAAGACGTTTATCATCCATCAGTCCCCACCTGGTCAATTTCTCGTCGCTTCGCACATCACAGTGGGAGCAGATTTGGTGTATTGTTCAATCTTCGGCTACCACAATCTTACCGTTTTTGTTGACTCAAATTTCGACCCTGAACTGTTTCGTCCCAAACGCTTTTGACGTACTCTAGGAATGGTAACTAAAATGCCGAATCTCGCTTCTTAAGATCGAATTTCCTATCTACATCGCGGCTGTTCTGTTTGTCTTCTGCCGTAGTGACACCAGCTAATCGGAGAGGAAGATTTCTCTTGCCGATGCCCAATCACGTTTTTAAGTTTATACCGATCCAAAAGTTCTACTGATGTAATGTACACTTTATTTGAGGGTACATTCCTCGCTCTTGGGGAAACTGAATATCTCCGTTTAAATGTGGAGATAAGTTCTAGGAGTGGTATCAGATTTCGTAATGGACAGCAAAGTTGTGGCGTACTCTCAGGATTTGCAGTGGAAAGTAAGGGCATTCTCCGCAAAGCTGTATGAACAATAAAACTGGTGCAGTAATATATATATATATATATATATATATATATATATTCCTA